ATTCGATTTATTCAATTATTTATAAAATTTAAAGGAAAAAAATAAGAAGTTACTAATATGTTAAAATATAATATTTAATAATTAAAATTATTTATTTAATTATATTAGTAATTATCAAATTAAAATTAATTATTTAATAATATAATTTTTTTTTGATTACGTAAAATATTTAATTGGATAAATATTTATTTCATATTCGATTTCTTAAATTAAGTAAAATATTTTTTTAATATTCAATTTATTCAATTATGTAAATCATTTATGTAATTGTATTAATTTTAATGAAATGGGTAAAATATTTAATTAAATTACTTTTATCCAATTACGTAAAATATTTAATTATATAAATATTTATTTAATATACCATTTATTATATTAAATTATTAAAAAATCAAAAAAAAATCTGGGCCGACTTAACAGGCGACCCAGATCGTTAGTGCCCTGGGCCGACTGTGGCCCATTTTCGGCTGTTAACAGCCGGAACCTGCAAGCAACCAGCAGGTCGTTGCCGGCTGTTAGCAGCACCGAAAATGGAGATTTATTCGCCATTTTCGATGACTTTGAGCTCAAAAAAGAGTTCTTAACTCCCTCAAATACCAACATTTCACTCCTAAGACTAACACTAAAGCAGATCTACGCATATATAATGAAATAAACTCAAAAAATGTGAAAATAATTGAAACACAATATTCTTTCAAAAAGGGCATTTAAAGGCTAAAATACTAACATTCTTATCGGCGCCGGTGTCGATAGTGGAAGGTGGTCGGTGTGGTGGCCAGATTTCTCTTTTAAACTGTCGATTTTTTGGAAGAGGGAAGTCGGTTTTTTGAAAGAGGAAGAGGAATGTCGGTTTTCATCTCTTTCAATTAGGGGTATTTTTGCCTTTTTGATATTTAAAATTATATTTTGGTTTTTTTTTTAAATGTTATTTCTTGGTCAAAGGCCAATATTGAATTATGGCCTTTTCAACATACTACTCACACGTATTTCCTCGGTGTGTTAGGCACGGTCTAATTCTGAATTTGGTCAGGTTGTGAAAGCATTAAGAATGTGTGAATTTATGAATTTGTACACATCAGTATTTTGTCTTCGTTTAATTTAAAATTAGCGTATTTGATCGCGTTCTTGAGAATTTATTTACATTCATAATCTAGTGAATATGTCTATTAAATGGAAATTGCATCATTGTCAACATTTTTATTCTCACAATTATTCGCAATGTTCTAAAAAGTATAAAACGTAGCTAAGCGTGAAAGTTTGCTTCAAACTTTATGAGATTAGACGAGCCTAAGCACTTCTCAAATGTGCTATTAACTGCACTCTCTTCTCCTTTTGTAATATTTTTGTTAAGGGGAATGCTTGGTTAATTTGACCAACCTCTCACTAGCCACGGTTGGCCTTTCGGTCAACTTGGGGGCATCAAGGTTCTTTAGGATTCTCGAACTAGTGTCTAAATTTTCATTCTAGGTGAACCTTGTGGATATCGTTGGGCATTGTTTTGAGGTTTAAGTCTACAATATAGCCAATATTATTTTCATGGGTGGAGCCAAAATTTTGGTTTAGTGATGACATATTATATATGTAGATATGTTTATATGAACTTTTACTCAACTATTACAAGTTTTTTATATCTTCTTAAATAAAAAATCCTTTTGATATATCTTATTTCAACATGTTTTTCTTTATGTTTCTAAAGCGTTTCGTAATCCTCTATAAAGATTTATTTATACAATGGTTACAACATTCAAATCACAATTAAACATGATTGTAATAGAAAACTAGGTTACAATTATCGAATAACCGAAGTACAATCAGGTCATGATCAAAGAAAAATTCGAGTTAAGTCACAAAATAATCGAAAAACAAAACAGTCACAACCAAGAAATGAGATCACCATACAAAGTCATGTCACAGTAATGTAATAATCGAACCACATTTCAAGAAAAATTGATTTAACATAATGAAAATCAAAATCAATCAAAAAAAATCGAACATAAGTTACCTATTAACTCAAATTTCCATAAATATTGTATTAAATAGAAAAATAAAAATAAATAATGATGTAATTTACCTTATTGGAAATATATTTTCCACCAGAATCCGTGCTTTTTGATTTTTTTTTTTTTTTTTGAACGAGCTTCTTTATGAGATTTAGTTCTTTTTCTTTTACCTGCCTCATGTTCATTCTTCATCAGTGTACACTCCTTATTATCATCATTAGTTGGATTTGTAAGGATTTAGGGTTTAATAAAAGTTTGAAACATAAAATAATTTATAAAATTATGAAATGGGGAAAATAGATTTAGCACTTTCACCGTCGATGAAGGCTTCGAATCTCTATTCTCTCAGCGAACGTGATAGAATTGCTTAGACAAGATGAGCATCTCTCAAGGGATATGATAGAAGAAGGAAATACGAAAATTTTGAACAATTTCTCTTTCCCCACTCTTGATGATTATGATGGTACGTAATGCTTAATTAACTATTAATTAATAATTTTATATTTAACATTTCTCTATTTTTGAAATAATAAACTTAAAACTTGATTATTGAAACACAAAGTTAAAAATCAGGGATACATGTACTTTTCCTAAACTTAAAATCTGATTTTTTAATAATAAACATCTGTTTGAGCCACATTAAAATTTTCTCTTCTACTCATTTTCAACCACACATTTTTCAATAAAATAATATTTTTTATCACATCAATAATTTTTCATTCTTTCTCAACCACACATTCTTCATCAATTTACTATTTTAAAATACATTCTTTCAAAATAACGTGCCATCTTTTAATAATAAACATCTGTTTGAGCCACATTAAAATTTTCTCTTCTACTCATTTTCAACCACACATTTTTCAATAAAATAATATTTTTCATCACATCAATAATTTTTCATTCTTTCTCAACCACACATTCTTCATCAATTTACTATTTCAAAATATATTCTTTCAAAATAACGTGAAACACAGTTTTGAAAAATATTTGTAATTCCCAATTAAAACGCAGGCCTAGATTACCCATGCCTGTTTAGCAAGGGGAAGAGCAGCCTAGGTTTTCTCTCTCGGTATTACACTGAAAATTGGGCTTATATTCATCACCCCCGGTACCAATTTATCTTATGTTGCAGTGATTTCTTCTCACCTTCTTCGTCACCAAACTTGGAAGGTAGTATCGGATTGTATTAGTGTTAAAAGGGGCTTTGTGTGTTGAAATCGACTCGATTTGTTTGTTGTGAATGATTTAATTTGAACTCAACTCCTTATAATTTATTTTATTTTTCCAGAATTGTTGTTTCTTCATGGTAATCTTTCTCTAGCTACAGTGATTTTTTCAATAATATTTCTCTTGAATTTTTGATGCGGTTTTTTATGGTTTTCCATTGGTGAAATACCCAGGACCAAAATCCTGCCCCCAGTTATTACCCTATTCGAAGGCATGGTGAAAATATAGCTTTTGTTTATTTAACTTCTGATATATGGTTAGTGTTAATTGCAACATTGCTTAAACACTGTAGTTCTATCGTTGTAGCTTCTAAAACTTTGTATCATTGATTTACATTTAGAATTTGGGAAAAATGTATCTAGAAAAGTAGTTGGGAGAATATATTGTATTGAAGAATTAACGCGTTGATGTATTGAGGGAGTCATTTTGATCCATTGGTAGAAGTTTTAGAATTATACAGAAGTTGTTGGTTCTCAACTAAATTACTAATCTATATTAGAGCGTGTGTGTCTTTGTTTAATCTTTACAAAGAAGCCAAAAAGGGGCTGCCATTTAGCTTTTTGGGGAAGTATGCGAAGCCAATTTTTGGCTTCTTTTGTGGCGCTTAAACAAAGACAAACATGCTCTTGATCCATATTCTATTTTTACAACGTGGATTTATAGAAGCTGTAGTAAAAAGGGGAAAATAAAACTCAAGTAACCCGCCTGAGATTAACCCCTTTTTCAGATATTGACAGACAGGTTTCATTGCATTCTTCTCCTTTTGTAATATTTTTGCTAAGAGGGGAATACTTGGTTAATTTGACCAACCTCTCCCAAGCCACAGGGTTGGGCCTGAAGCAAGTAACAATCTTGAGGGAATCAGGGCTCTTAAGACCAACTTTAGGCTTCTTGAACTAGTGTCTAAATTTTCATTCTAGGTACTGGAACCTTCTGGTGTTGGGCTTTGTTTAGAGGTTTAAGTCTACAATGTAGCAAATGTTATTTCCCTATACAAAGTTAATGGAAAACATATGGATTTTGTTTATTTAACTTCGGATATGAATATCATTGGTATCATGAGATGTTTGACACTTGCAATGCTACAGATGATGTGAATTATGTGAACAGAGTGTAATTTCAGTTGCTGTATAGATGTAATCAAAATAATCGCTGCAGCATTTGTTTTAGATATAGAGTAACTTCAATAGGAACGTGTTAGTATATTTGGCTTATGCATTAGCTACTGTTTTATGTTTGATGTAGTATTACAGAATGCATATAAGAAAACGGTTTTTATGTTTTTCCCCTGAGAAATTGTGCTAGTAGTGCCAGTTACATTTGTTAATTATGATTGCAACCTTGCTTAAACTCTGTAGCTCTATCATTGTAGCTTCTAACATCGTATCATTGATTACTTATAGAATTCAGGGAAAGATGTACCTTAAATCACAGTTGTCTTGGAACGTGGTAATTCCTGCGGAGAACCTTGATGCTAAAGGATTGATGCTTAAGAAGGCAATTATAATTCACCTTATGGATGATTTTGCTGCTAAGAAGGCCATGAAAGATTTGGGTTATTTCCTTGCCGTAACTACTGTTGAGCGCATCGGGGAAGGAAAAGTTAGACAACACACGGGAGACGTACTTTTTCCTGTAGACTTCAGCTGCATTACCTTCAAGATCTTACCTGGAGAAATTCTGGAAGGCGTTGTGCACAAAATCTTGAAGCATGGAGTCTTCTTGAGATGCGGTCCAACTGAGAAAATATATCTCTCCCATCAAAAAATGGCTGACTATCAGTATGTACCCGGGGAAAATCCCTTTTTCAGGAACGATAAATCATCAAAAATTGAGAAAGGTGTGATCGTGCGCTTTGTGGTGATTGGGGAGAAGTACGTTGAGGCTGAGAAGGATTTCCAGGCGGTTGTGAGCCTTGAGGGCGATTACCTTGGACCGATTTCTTAAGAAATCTCTGTTTTCCCCTTTTCTCTCATTAGGCAATATCTTTTATGTATGTTCTGTACGTAAGACTCTGTCGTAGACTCTAGAGTTTTGATTATGCTTATGTAGCAAGTTTGTAATGTTTATCCTCGTGATTAGAGCATTTGGCTCGATGTTATGTTACTGTTTCCAGCGTCCTTTGTGAATCTCACCTTTGTTAGTACATTCAAGCACTTGATGTTTGCTAATGTTTGTTTGAACACGAAATTTATCTGTATATTCTAATTTCTAGGCAGGGGTTGTCGTCTGTGGCGAAAACAGGTTGCATTAGTGTTGAAAATTTTGCAGGCTTTCAGTGTGCTGTTTTTGGCTTGCGTATTTTCTTTATCTCTGGGAGTTGAATATTTAGGTGGAAGGTGAAGAAAAGCCTCCTTCTGGGGGGCCCGAGCCATCAGTGAATATTTTGTTGCAAATGTAATCGTTTGAAGTTCCTCAAAAAACTTACTATGGTAGTCAAGGCTCTCGTAAACGATCCTCTAAATCACGATGACAAATAAAATTTTATAAGTAAAGAGAATCGAATGTTTTTAATAGTTTAGACTATCTTTCCCCTCCATCTAGATGTCAATAGGATCACTCCCTTTCGTCTATCTTTATTGAATCTGTTCCCGTCCCGTCGATAATTCCTTGCACGCATCTCTTTTTACGTCTTTCCTCCTTTCTCTATTTTTTTCACGTCAGTTCCTCCTCGTGAAATTCACTCCATTTTCTCCATCTTTACATACTCTTCCCCATCGCAGCTCCTTGCTTACACATCTCTTTCGTATTTCCATTGCAAAATATTTTCCATTCTCATAACAGGCGTGTATGGAGCTTTCTTTATCTCTATTTCGATCGAATCCTCACTGTTCATTACCCTCTCGACATCGTCACCTATCAACATCATATCGTTCCCCAACGATCCTCTTGTTCATTTGTTTTACCTAAAGGGTTATTAGCGCAAAACGTCCCTACCTTTGCGTGTTCGTGTGCAAAACGTCCCTACCTTTACATTTTTGGTGTAGAACGTCCCTACCTTTACATTTTCTTGCTCAAAACGTCATTTTCGTCTCTTTTTGACAATTTTAACCTTCTATTAGAATAAAACAAACCCAAAAAAAAAAGGAAAATAAAGAACAAATTGCAGTTTCACTCCTAAACTTTTTGAAAAGTTCAAATCAACCCAAATAAATTATTAAACTATTTACAAAAAGACTATTTCTTCTCTTCATCTCCTCCCCTCTTCCACCTGATTTTTACCACCTTCCGGCCACCATGGTCATCGGACCATAGTACCAACTTGAAGCCCGTACTTCCTTCTACACAACCCACCCAACAATTGGCCCTAACTCCAGGTAAATTGGTCGGAATTTCTGTCCAAAATCTGCCTGGTCACACAAATCAAAACTGCCGGCAACTACCTTTCCGGCGACTCTCAACCTAGCCCAACATATTGGTAGACTCCCCTCATCATGATGCATCAAACCATGGTCCCCAAACACCTACTCAACCACCAAATCAATATCCGCAGCCAAATTCATCAAGTCCGAATTTATCACAGACTTCCTTAATTTCTCCCACAAAATCAGCAGCTTCTGGGCGAGAAAGACCAAGACCCATACCTGGGCTAGGTGCGCCAGATGAAGAGGGACCTAGCCCAGGAGGTCCCCGGCCGTCGTGGTCCTACCGTCGCCGAAATTGGCCCTGTTCAGTGGCTATGTCGCGAGGCTCGCGACTGGCGAAATTTCAGGATTGGCATGATTTGTTGGTGATGTTTGTAATGGTTTGTTGGCATGATTGTTGTTACCTGGTGATGGGCAGTTGGAAGGAGGTGGGTTTCGGCCATGGGATTGGTCGGAAGTGCAATTCCCGGCGATTTTCAGATTAGGTGACAGTGAACTTTGAGCGTTGATTCCAGCCACTGTAGTTGATGGAATTGAGCGTGGTTGGGTGGTATTTGAAGGGGAGATGGATGGCTGTTGACCGGTGTCAAGATCCGGCGGGATAGGTGGCCAGAGGTTGCCTGATTTTGGACGCATTTGGGGGTGAAAAAAAGGCAAAAAATTGATTGTTATGCCAAGTGTAAATGGTTATTTTTAATATTTTCATAAGTTTTGGATTGATTTGCATTTTAAAAAAGTTTAAGAGCAAATTGCAATTTATTCTTTATTTTTCTTTTTCTTTTCCTTTTTGTTTTATTTAAATTGGAGGGTATATCGGTCATTTTATGTTAAAAATTAGGGAAAATAACGTTTTGCGCAAGAAAATGTATAGGTAGGGACGTTCTGCAACAAAAAATCAAACGTAGGGACGTTTTCCACACAACCCGTCATAGGTAGGGACGTTTTGCGCCAATTACCCTTACCTAAATATCTTCTTATTTAAGTGCTTGTTTGAAGGTGTATGTATATAAACTAAATATCCTTCATAATATGCGGATAATTAGAGGGATAGTAAATTCAAGTTCTATCATTGTGCAAAAAAATATGTTCGACGAACTTATTTATAATTTAACATTAGCCAAACATGCTCTAAATCCCCTTCTCCAAGTAATCAATGTTATTAAACGTTAAAACTGAAATATTAAAGCAGTACGTTTCAATTTATAATCGAATCATCTCTCTCTAGAAAAAAAAAAAAATCCGAGGAATTGTCGGCCAACCAATGTCTTCGCCGCCGCCCGCTGCTGCCCGTCCTTGGAGAATGTTCCTTGACCCTGCAAGTCTTAGCCTCCCTGTTTCCCCCTCTGAAGCCAGCTTTCGCCTGACCCAAAACCTCCGCTACTTCTATCCCAACTACGCTCTCCTCTCTTTCCTCGTATTCCTCCTCACGCTTCTTCCCCATCCCCTCTCTTTGGTCCTTTTCCTCTGCATTTTTATCGCATACCTATACTTATTCTTGTCGCGCAGCGAGCCCTTGATTGTCTTCGATCACGCCATTGACCAGAAAATCATACTGGGTTTTCTTCTTGTACTCACCCTGCTTGCTGTTTCATGGACCAAAGTTTGGTGGAATATTTTTATTTCTTTGATTGTTGGGTCGGCGATTGTGCTTCTCCATGCTGTTTTAAGGGCGCCCGAGGAGGTTGAGGAGGATTCTCCATATGGGTCTTTGCTAAATGTTGTGGATGATCCTAGGGGAGACTATGCTAGTGTTTGAAATTGGGGCTTTTTTTAGGGTTTTCGATTTATTTGGGAAATTATGGACTGGATAGCTCTTAGATTGCCGTTTTGAATTGTATTTTGTATACTCATGATTGAAATTTATCTAATTCAATTAATGAAAATAACATCACTCTTCCCATACCGTGTTTATGTCTCTTCTCGTTTTCTGATGATCCCAGTTAAGACTATCCTAGTGTTTGAAGTTTGGGATTTGGTCAGTTCTCAATTTATTTGGGAAATTATGAATTGTGTAGCTCTTTGACTGCAGTTTTGAATAGTATTTTTATGTTCATGATTGCAATTTATCTAATCCCAATGTTCGATTAATGAAAATAACATTACTCTGTTCTTACTGTTGTTTATAAAATTTTTCTGGGTTACATTGCAATGCAATGATGTTAAGTTCTGAATATAATTACCTTAAAATAGGCTATAACTTTTACACCGACTTGCATTTTTTGTTTATGTGGATTAATTTATCTTGTAGTTCAATATCCAGTTTCAAGAAAACGTGCGATTATGCGTGAATTTGATATGCTTAGGGTAATAGTGGATTCAGCAGTGAAAAGATTAATCAACCGAAAAGAGAGATCGGTATTTGATTTTAGAAAGAGGTGTTTGTTATATATTGGAGCACATTAGACAGATGGGTAGTGAGATTCTCTATCGTATAAATGCTTGTGATATTTGAAGATCATAACCTTCTTTATGACAGACTTGATTCATGAATAAGAACATTTGCTTTAGATCAGTTGAGATGGAACATTAGTACTTCACTTTAAACTATGCTTTTGTCTTGTTTACAAGGCCTATGGTTGTACATTTGTGTCGTATTCTGGCTTAGTGTTAAAATCAAATCAATCTAAAACAGAAAAAAGAGATTCCGAATTGCCGGTTAATTATTTGAACGGCCACTAAATTTTGTCAAGTGTTATTACTTAATAACTAAATTTAAAAATGTATCTCCATGATCATATGAACTTTGTCAAGTTTTACTACTTAATAATTAAAATTGAAAATGTATCTCAATGATCACTGAACTGTAACGAGTATTACTAATTCATAATTGAACTTAAAACTGTATGTAAATGATCAGTGAACTATGCACCATATTATCCATCCATGACTCAAGTAGATAAATCTGTTATGTTCAACAAGTGGCATCTACTTGATTGATGGATGGATAATACGGTGTATAGTTCAGTGACTATTGTCATATATTTTTAAGTTAGTTATTAAGTAGTAGCCCATTGAGATACATTTTTTAAATTTAATTATTAAATCCCTCAAATCGACATTTGTGAAAGAAGAAATGAGAGAGAATGAAAAAATAAAAAATCAAGATCAAAGACCTATAAATCGAAGAAAAATAAAACTTTTGCTAATATCCATTCTGAAATAAAATTGATGACATTAGTTTTCCACTGAAAGTTTTGCTCCTCAAATGGAGGATATAAAATGTTAGATGGACTCTGAATGATTTGCAAAGTCATTTAAACCCCTGACTAGCATATCTCCTTCATTGGTAAGAGGTCAATTTGAAAGAATGAAAAATTGTTATTACTTAATAACTAAACTTAAAAATGTATTTCAATGGTCACTGAACTATATCAAATGATACTATTTAATAACCGAATTTTAAAATGTATCACAATAGTCACTGAACTATGCACCGTGTTACCCATCCATCACTTAAATCGATGTCGTTTGTTGAAAATCTTTCTACTTGAGTGATAAATAGGTAATACGATGCATAGTTCAATGACCATATTGATATATTTTTAAGTTTAGTTATGAAGTAGTAACATTTGGCAAAATTCAGTAACCATTGAGATACATTTTTAAGTTCAGTTATTAAGTAATAATACTTGATAAAGTTCAATGATCATTCAAATAATTAACCTAAGAATTGCTTTAAATTATTTATAGTAATATATACATGAACAATGCTAAAAAGAATTCTGTAAAAATAACAGAACACACGTGGGGGTGGGCCCCATTTTTTATAATAATATTTTATTCATGTGAGTATTCTGGCATTTTTACAGATGAAATAGTTATGTACAAAGGGTTTAATTGATATATACATACTGGTAAGCCTGTCCAAATTCTGTCTACAGTTCCATTAATGAGTCTTTCAGTCTTTTTATTGTGATTATTTTGGGTAGCAAGCGGCTGCTCTATTGACAAAGAACAAAAATTAAGTTCCATTTTAGCGAACGGCCAATATAAACTTTTGTTATCGACCCAACCCTTAGGAGTAAGTTGGTGCTTAACTTTTTAAAGTTGCATAGCCAGTCCAGTGATAAAAAAAAACTTGTATATCTCGATTAAATCTTCAAAAGACCTTCACATGTAGATGTAGCTCAAAAATTTAAGAGTAGGTGTGTTTTCCCAAGGACGACATTGAGATGGTGTGTATACATAATCTTCAAATGAGATGATTCAATACAGTATCACTGAAATGTCTAGTTAAAATCTTGCCACTGAAAGTTTTGCAGGCGTACACTTCGTGTTTTAGACGAGGTGGTAATGTTATTATTGCATCTGTGTTTTAGTTAGTGAATCATCTTGGTTAATACGCGAGAATGATGTCGATTTCCATGCTGGAAGAAGATGAAGGCATCACTGATTCAGAGAGGAGTCATGGCAAGAGCTAAGGTCATATAAGGCTAAATATTAGATAACAAAACCTTTGCAATACTTCTTTCGACAAATTTGAAGGAAATGATATGATATTAGAGCGCCATTCACTCTCATAGACTTCAATTGCCTTTGTTGGCCAATGATCGAGCTTGAAGCTTCGTACAACGAAAACTTACAGCAGAGTACAAAAGTAGCTATTGAAAGATTATGTTATTCTTCCTTCTCCTTTCCTAACCTAACAGGACACCGACTTTCCGGGCTACGACATATGGGTTTTTACAATTAAGTGTCTAACACACCTCGTATTATCTGAGGGATTTTAAACAGTGCATGGAAGGGAGAAAGATATGGCTGGGATCCTGCATGGTTCGGAGCCACATTCTTATGGAAGATTTTCTGCCCAGAGATGATGGAGTGCAAATACCGTGTTGCTATACACCACCCGTCCTGGGGAATCGCCAAAGGACAAACTTGGCAAGAAGCTAGTAGATTTCACCAGAGCCAAGAGATTCCTCTATTCAAGTACCTAACCCATCAAAAGACATTAATATCGAACATGTTAGTTCCTGTATTGTGAACGTGTGGTATGTAGCAAGATTACGTGCTGGTGAATTTGTTCTCTTCTTTTTCCTGCCTATAATTAGGGGTGTCCAAAAGTCTCGAAACGAACCGGACCGAACCGAACCCGAACCGAACCAAACCGAACCGAGCGGTTCTTCATAAATTAAATACCCGAACGGGTACCCGAATCGAGAACCGATGGGTTTGGGTCGGGTCTCGGGTCTAGACCAAGAACCGAAGAACCGAACAAGAACCGGATTTTTTTTTTTATATTAGATAAATCAATTTCTTTTATTTTTTCTAAATAAATTAATAATTTTTTCTTATTAAATCTTATTAGTTGAACAATTTAAAGTTTATTTATATTTGTTAGTTGTGTTTTTTTCAATTTTTTCTTGTATAGT